ATTGGTCAGTAGCTTACTTTTGTCTCTTATTGGCCAATACGTACTGCCATTCTTATTGGCCAAGGAAACTTCCGTGCCTAATAGCGGGACCTTTCAACGAAAATTAAGGAAATGCTTCTCGCCCCAAGCTGTTGTGGATATTCCCTCTGTCACAGTTAAACTCAGATTTTTAATCCAATATCATTTCCGTTTTGGAATTCATTCTAAATTTCATAAACGTTTCATGAATTATAGATACGAATATGTATGGTTAAAAAGTAGAGCCCCCTCTCCCATCACAATGTCTTCATCACCAGCTGCGCTGCAGGCAGGGAGGGTGGTAAAGCAAAGTTGAATACCACTGTGCCTTTTCTTGTTGGCTATATGCCTGGGCTGACATAAGGTGAAGCAAATTGTGCCTGTGCTGCTCCTCACCCAGCCACTCTGTGCCAATACTGGCAAGGTGAAGAAAAAAGCAAACTAAATATTCTACTGTTAAGATCCTAAATATTAGTCTAGCACTGCTGGCTGTGATCCCAGCATAATGTTATATATTGTGGTGGCAAAGTGTTAAGTGGAGTCTAAGTTTCTGTTGGTAGAGCAGTTCTTGGGAAAGAAATATTAACTTAATGATCAATGAAAGAATCTTGAAACACCTCAGAGGCTGACATTTGTTGTGCTACAGCATTCTGGGGACTAAAGCCCCCAAAATGGTCAGGGGCTCTTATTATTGCTGTTGCAGCAGACTTCTATACCTACCTCTTTTAGGAGTTAATATCTATAGTTACACTGGCTGAAAGCAGGTCACACAGTATACTTTGCTAAACCTGTGTGTGTGTGTATCAAAATGCTTGTTTTGTAAGACAGGGCTATACTCCGTGGATGGAGAAAAGTAACAGTGACATTTAGGGAGATTGATGTACTAAAATGTCAAGAGCATGACTGCTGTCTGCCTTGCACTGAAACAAAGATCAAAACTTGTTGATTTCTAGATTGTATTCAGTATCTTGTAATTTAGATATGAATTTTACTTTACAGGCATCTAACTGGAAATTCTACAGGCATGAATTATTGCTGTACCTTGAACACTTTCTGCAGGCTCTTATTAAAGGATGCCATTATTTGCCTCCTCCAAAAGGAACTGAAGTAACTTGGAAAAATTTTCTTTGCTGTTTGAAAGAGCAAGGCTTAATATCTTTGGGAGAAGAAGACACAGCATCTCATCAACATTTAATCAATATTACCACTCTCAGACCAACATACTTCATTTTAGATGACAACTTTTATTATCGAAGTATGAGATACGAAGTGTACCAATTAGCTCGCAAATGTAAGTTTGGCATACCATATTTACTCAAAAGGAAGATGACTTTTAAAACCTTTTTTGGCTTTCTAAAAGGGAGTGCATCTTCCATTCAGGTATACAGATCCTCTGATTGTTATGGTGCTTCACTGCACATGTGGGGAGAGCAGGAGAGTCTTGGTGGCTAGCTGTAAAAACTGCAGCTCCTTGCCTGGTAAATGGTAAAAAGTGGTAGGAGCTGTGGGGGAGGATGTGCTCCTGCCTCTCTGACCCATGTTTCTGGCTCTGGTACTCTACACCAGCTTTAGCTTCTTCCCCTGTGCTTCAGGCTGGAGTTACCTAGTAGTTTGGCTCTTTTCCCAGGAGAAAGACTCAAAAAGCCAGTAGGTTTACAGCAGTTTAGCACAAAATTAGCCATAGCTGTTATGCTTTGTGGACATTTTAGATAGGGAAGGATAAAGGAAGTGGTTAATTTAAACTCACTGCTGGATTGGAGATGTTTCACCCCCCCCTCCCCATCACAAAGTGTGTGACTTCCTAGCCCATGGAAAACATTGTGGGAGGGGGTTGTTAACAGTGTGTTCCTAAGGAGAGTTACATCCTTCCAAGTCCACTGGTTTAAATTAATTTAGAAAGGTGTAAAGATGTTCTATTCTGTAGCTCCATCATCTACTAAAAGGGAGACTACAGCCAAGAAATCAGAAGGAGCTTGAGACTGGGAAGGGCAGCCATGAAGGAGCTAGAAAGGATTCTTAGGTGTTATGATGTGTCACTGGTGACCAAAATCAAGATAGTATTCCTCTTCATGTGTGGATGTAAAAATTGGACAATGAAAAAAGCTGACAGGAAGAAAGTTGATTCCTTTGAAATGTGGTGTTGGAGGAGAGTTTTACAGATACCATGGACCATCAAAAAGACAGGTAAGTGGGTTCTAGATCATATCAAGCCTGAATTCTCCCTAGAAGCTAAAATTACTAAACTGAGGCTATGATACTTCAGTTACATTGTAAAAAGACAAGAGTCACCGGAAAAGACAATAATGCTAGAAAAAGTTGAAGGCAGCAGGAAAAGAGGAAGACGCAACATGAGATGGATAGACTCAGTCAAGGAAGCAACAAGCCCTCAATTTGGAGGTCATTAATGCATAGGGTTGCCATAAGTCTGAATTGACTTGACAGCACAACATATACATAATTCTGTTTAGGATTGCACTGCCAGTTGGTCAATTTATCTGAACCTTTGCCTAGTAGTGTAGGCCGCCCTGAGCCGGCCTTGGCTGGGAGGGCGGGGTAAAAATCCAATCAATCAATAAATAAATAAATAAAATAGTTTGACTGGGTTTTTTTTTTAAAAAAAGACGATGTATTGCCTTTCAAAATTTGAAACAGTGAGATCCAGTACTTATTTTATCATATGGCAGTTACACACAGGAAGCATATAATAATATAAAATATGTAACCAAGTTGATACAATAGGTATGCAGACCGATTGGGCAATCCTTCTAAATACTAATATTTAAATTTTCAATCCACTCAATCACAGCTGGAGAGTTCAAAGAGCTCCATCACTTCTCCCTGGAAAGCATGACACTCACACTCCTGTGTTAGATGGAAAATAGTTTGGCAGGCTGCACCACAATCATATTTGGGTTCTGGTATTTTGCACTATTTGAACAACAGGTCTGCATAACTGCCATAGCCTGTTCATATTCTATTAGCTGTCTTCCATACTTTGTGGCAAGTCAAATCTAGCTCGCCTTCTCGTGGTGCACCCTGGATAACACTAAAGAGCTAGAACTTCTGGCTGCCAGACAATCATAAGATCTCCTGGCTACACTACATGTGTGGAACCAATCAAGCAGTCTTTTTCAGGACTACATGACAAGGGGTATAGGAGACTGCATCCAAATCTGCCAAATGAATATTGAGGGTATAAGCAAGTCTAAATGCCGATACGTGCCACAAATCTTATTGGCCAGTAAAATAGATCCAATACTACTTGTGAATAGTTACAATGCCAAGAAGTGCAAAAACTGAAAGTAATCAATTTCTTCTGTCATCTGTATTGTTTATCATTACTACATAATAAAAAACTTACTTTATACTGCTCTTTTTTTAAAAAGGGGGGTTGTTTAAAATTCAGGGTCATCTCCTTTTATGTATAACCTCTTTTTTTAGGAGGGGTCATCTTATACTCAGGGTCATCTTCCTTTCAAATAAATACAGTATTTAGCTGGAAGCCCATCCTATCCATGACTTGAGATGCTGGAAGAAGAAGAAGAGATTGGATTTATACCCCGCCCTTCACTTGGAGTCTCAGAGTGGCTTACAAACTCCTTTCCCTTCCCCTTCCCCTCCCCACAACAGACACCCTGTGAGGTGGGAACACCTGTACCATGTCAAGATCAGTGGGTCCCTCTGGTTCTCCCTCTAACTGAAAGTCCCTGTCTCTTCAGTTTCCAAGTGCTTTTAATTTGGCAATTAGGGGAGTGCAGATAGTAGCCAGACGTTTATCCATTGTGGCTATCTACAGCTGGGAGTCCTGTTCAACAACAAACACTTGTATAGAATTGAAATTGTAACTTGCTGTTTATTTTTGTGTTCTTGGGGGCCATTTTAGGGTCAAGAATGGGATAAAAATAGAATACCGTTGCTCTTTTCAGATGTTGGCCTTTAAATAACTATTGCTCACATCATGGTATATAAAATCTGACTCATAATAGCAAAACTGATGTTCCTGCAAAGCTGTTAGACCAGACTCTGAAATATTTTGTTTTCTTTCTCCATGACGACACAAATTGCTTCTGGTTTGTGTGATGTTCTTGTATCAGTTTCAGAAAATGTGATTAGATAAAAATGACTGTGTCTTATATGAAAATATTTTGAAATTCTTGTAGATTCACTGGGCTTCTGTCAGTTGTTTTTAGACTGTCAGGTTGAGGTCTGTCTACAGAGAAATGGTCAGAGAACTCAGCCATTACCTGAAGAAACAATACATGCAATGGCACAGAAGCTGGAAGTTCCAAATTCAGAGAAATACACATGGGAGAAGAACAGCCTCATTTTGAAGAGTACAGAATATACTTTGGAAGATAAGTATGTAGCCATTTTGAAGCAACTCTTTGTAATAAATGGGCTACAGGAGTTCCCATGTGTGTTGTAGAGTTCAAACAGAACTCTGTATTTGCATAGCACTTCTGGGGCTTATTTTGTTGGTTTGGTGTTTTTTTAAGGGTATACTTGGGGAAATTCCCAGGTGTGCAAAAAAAAGAACAACTTGTAAATTAACCAAAAATACTGAACATGCTGCAGGACCATAGAATATTGACTGCAGCTGAGTGTCAGGAACAGGAAAGTGAGGGTAGGAAGAATTGTCCTTCTTAAGCCTCTGAACGTTTCTGGGAGGGGCTGCAGTGAAATCTTAGGGGCGGCTGGGGTATTTCCAAACTGTTCCTCCTTCCCATGATTCCTTGTGGGGCCCCAGTTTGTATAACTACAGTTTGTATAACTAGTTTTAACTACAGCCCTAGTTAGAAAAGAAAAATTGAGTGTACAGCAGCTCCCCATGTGTTCCCACCCATATTTATTTATTTATTTATGGGAGCCTCTGGCAAGACCTAAGACTTTGTTACTGTTTTGAGGAAAGGAAACATAAGATGGCTGCTAATATTATTATTTTTGCCTTGTAGGCTGTGGTTGAACTGCAGTTTGAACATTAGTTTTAGTTCCAAGTCTGGCATTCTATCCTCTATGCCTATGTTTGCTTGTTGGTTTCCCAATGGTGAAATCATGATCCTGTTGATCTTGACAAGGTTCTCACTGATTCCTTCACTGAATTGCATGCTCTGTCCTTAGGCAAGTGTTTCTAATAAAGGTGCATTTTCAACTTAACTGTTTTTTATTTTGTTTATATTCAGTCTCCAGGTGCTCAATTTGTTGTCTCTTACTTTGGAAAATCCAGTGAAACCGCTGGAAGAAAACACAGAATTCAAGGTAATGTGGAGTCACTGCAAAACTAATACGTTTTAATGTTCACTCCTTCCAACACGTAGGAGGCCAGACATTGGGTAGCCAGTGCCTGTGCAAATACATTGGGATAGTCAAATCCTGTGCACGACCCATTATAGTCTGTAGGACTTCAAAATAAACGTGCATCGGAGTGCAAAGTTGCACACCCTGCATTACAGATCCAGTAGCAAAATATCTTGTACTTTGAAATGGATTGTTCTTTTGGTTTTGTCCAAAGGATAGGTATTGCTGTAAAATTAGAATTATAATCCATAGAAACACCCTCACCCGTTGTTGAAAATGGGTGGCAAAACAGTGGCTATCTCACTGGATTTTGCAGGGTGGGATTAAAAAAAATTAACCTAGTTGTGGTATATTTTGGCCTCGTTCAAGAGTGCTGTGGTCTGATTCCTTGGCTTTTTAGGAATGTATTAAAATTGCAGACAGACAGTGGATAGCTGAATTATTTCTTTGTAATGTTACACAGGCCTCTGTGCGAAGCCAGTTTTTGCAGTTGCAGAAACAAACGTGTTGTGCAACTAAAACTCATTTTTGGAGGTAGCAGGATTGGTAGCAAAACTCTGAATTACCTTCCTTTTTTTTTCTTTTTGACTGGCTGAGACATAGGTGTTTTCCTTTTGACTAGGAAGCTGATCGAGCTCTTTGCGCAGCCAGTTTCCTTCATCAAGCTGACCGGGCTGTCAGGCAAATTGTCTCTCAAACAATGAAGAATGCAAAAGGTATGCCCAGCAAGGCATTTTTTCTGTTTACTAAAGGAACATTAACTGCTGTCTTGCAGAGACTTACATTTTAAACATGTGCTGCTTCTGAGTAGCATAACCAAAAAGCATGTCTTACAGGGTTGTGGGTGTGGTTCAGCGGTATAGAGAATTTGATTTGCATGCAGAGAGTCCCAGCTTCAATACTCACAATCTCTAGTTAAAAGATCAGGTTGTAGGTTACAGGAAAGAACTCAACTTGAGTCCCCAAAAAGGCTGCTGCCAGTTAAAAAAGGGAGTACTGTCCAGTGGTCTGATTTACTACAGGGATTGGGAAGCATCATATGGTTCAGAGTCTCCAGGTGTGGTTAGAAGGCAAATGCTAACAGCAACCTTGCTGAAGCTAATCATGATCTGGGGTTGATGGACGGAAAAATCCTGGAAAACGCATGTATGCAAATTTGGGTTCCACGTGTAAGAAAGGTGGGTCGCAAATATAATATTGGTAGTACCTTAAGGCACATTCAGATGACACTATAGCAAACAGCTGACATTTCCACTAACATTTTTTATCAGACCCCACTCCTCAAAAGGCAAGCCACAGTTTCAATTGGGATAGCAGTATGGCATGGTACAAGGATGTGGTACAAAGACTGAACAGTAGTGCTCTGTTTTGTTTCACTAGATAATCGCCTTACCCCAAGTGAGATGAAGAGCTTGGCACAGGAACTCAATAAACTGAAAGTGGGTTTCTTGGAAGATTTAAAACACCAGTATAATGAAAAGAAACAGTGTTATTCAGCAAGTACACTTCCTATAAACACAGCTTTATTCCACCAACAGGCCAATGATATTGCTAAGAAATACTTGTTATGCACGTAGCAGTGTGTGTATTCCTGCCATGTGCAGGGAGTACAAAACACAAGTGATAAGCATTTTGAAAAGAACTCTCATGCCCATAGTCAAGTTTCCACATGTTGGTGTATGTGAGATTTATTTGCTCTAACTTGAGGAATAAGCTATCAGTTGCTTAAAAATACTGAAGTATGATCTAGCATACTCGTTGCCTGGTTAAAATATTTGATGCTTCAAAAAAAGAAGCTTCTTCACCTATTAAAATGGCCAAAAAGAGGAGAAACATTTCTGGAAAGAAAGTCTTACTGAACAGAGCTTATCTGCCATGTGTCTATAGAGGAATTTATGCAAGACTTCCTCATTCAAAACCTCTTGCCTTAAATATTTCTGATGCCAAGATATTTGTCTCATACACATAAACCATGGGAAGCTTTTCTGTTACAACGGATACAGCTCATTTGGTAAGGATTTGCCATTATGGCTTTCTATTTTAGTCGATAGGCAGTGGTATGGTTTAGATCCAAAGCCTTGCTTCTGCGTGTACCCCAGCCTCTTCCATTGCAGGTCCTCCCCTGCTGCTTCTGCTCACAGGAGATCAGTAGTGAGCCAAAAACACCTAGCACAAGAGAAACACGTTTCACCCATGCAACAGAAAGTGCAGCAGAGGCAAGGCACAGAATTCAACTCTGTACTTATAAAGGGAAAGCTTAAGAGTCCAGGGTTTTAAAAAGGCAGTAATGTCAAAGAACACAAGGTTAAATGTAAGATTACTGTATGTAATTGTGTGAAACGTCCTCCTTTACACTAGTTTATATAATTTTATTATACTATAAAAACATAAACCTATATTTCCCCCCTAAATCTCCTGTTTGATGGCACAGCATCATTTTGAGTAATCCTGCACAAAAGTCATGGGTTTTCTGCTTTAGAAAGGCTGACTCAAGTTTTTCTCATCTGCACTTCCTGGTATGGTGCGTGAATTACCTAAATTCTTGCTGTAATTTTGTGATTTGGATGTCTTCCATGACACCCCCTCACCCCATTCATAACAATATATAATGTACAATTTAAGAGAACTCCCAGAAGGCTGTAATGAATCCTACTGGAAGACTGCATTTTATTAGTTTTACTTCTCGAGGCCTTTTTCATGGAGACTAAATCCAGCTCTCAACATTTAATACAGTTGAAAGTAATTTTAAAGCTTTAAAAGGTTATCAAAACCAGTCATGGGGGTGGGGACTTATACCCCGCCCTTCGCTACCGGAAGGTGTCTCAGAGTGGCTTACAGTCTCCTTTCCCTTCCCCACCCCACAACAGACACCCTGTGAGGTAGGTGGGGCTGAGAGAACTCTTTCGAGAACTGCTCTTGAGAGAACAGCTTTGAAATGACTGACCCAAGGTCACACCAGCAGCTAGGGGTGGAGGGTGCTTTCTTCAATTTCTCCCCTTTCACTGCAGACACCCACATGGCACCAAGTGCTTTCCCTCTTGGGGCCAGAGAAGTACAATGGGGTGCAGTAAGGAAGAACAGGTGAGAAAGCCCCTCTTGCTGATTTCCACTTGTGCTTCTTTCAGACCAGTTCTTTACACCCACTCCTTTGAACTACTAGCTTCCATTATACGTCCAATATTACCTCAAAAGCTTTAGCATTTCCTCGTCAAAGCATTGGTCCTGCACACTTGAAAAGTTCTACAATCCTATCACTTGTTTATACTCAAGACACTATCACTAGAGGGAGTAGAGAAAATTTATATTCAAAATACATGGCCTTTGAATCTGAAACGAAACCAAAATGGTATGGGGGGGGAGTAATTAGATCAAATACAAAGTCACACTGTTAGGCTTATTCAAAGATTTCTGTTATACCTTTTGGAGAGTGCAGCTGGAGGTCTGCTTGATCAAGCTTCTTGGTGCCCTTTCATCCTTCATCACATACTTGGAACACCCAAGTGTGTGAAACAGACTGCTGAGCAGACTTATCAAGTTTTTTCTACTGTTCTCCCCTGCTCCCAGTATAATTAAACCCTTTAGGTTTCTACTTGTTAGCAGAACCTGTGAATGATGCTGGAAAGCAGTGGAAATATCACGGAAACCTATTCCAAGAGCAGAATTGTGGTAAGCTTTTCCTCAGCACAACACAGGCAGCATATGAACTGGCAACTGGTACAGTAAGGTTAGTTACTATTCGGCAAGAGAACACCAGCATTTTGCCAGCATCATAAATTACAGAACTGCCGCAATGATGATGCCAGGGACTTCTGAGCCAGGCAGTCACCTGGGTAATTGAGAATTATTAGGAAGTTATTTTATTCCTTTTTTAAAAAAGCAGACACATCTCATAATATGAGTTACACTAAATGTAATACAATTCCCTTTCCTGGGAAAAAGTATCACTATGCATTAGAATGTATTTTTAACTCTAAAGATCAATTTACCCATACAAAATAAGTTCTTTCCATTAGAATACATATTAACAACGTAGGTCTTAGTGGACTTAAACAAGAGTACTCAAAGACACTTCGGCAGGGAATACAATATCTCTGAAGCAGGAAATCTGGTGGCTGGGTATTTTTACACTAATTTAAATCAGTAGAAAACTTTGTCTGTTTTTCCAAGTAACATTCCCTTTGTCAAAAAACTTACATTTAGTAGAATGTGGCAAACAGCAGATAGACACAACAACAACAACAAAAACTTAATCCAAAAAGGACTGAATTAAGAACCAAAAGGTTAAAGAACTCAGAATGTGAGGGCCCAACAGTTCTACATCTAAACATAAAACATATATATTACCAAATATATAAAAATACATGTATTTATTACAAATTAGGTAAAAACAAAAGTAGGCCCAAATAGTAGCCTCAAATCAGAATAAAATCATACAATTATCTCAGATAAAGACCATTTGTGACACTGACCAAATGTGTTTCAGCCAATAGTATGTGACATTTTATTGGCTCTAGACTGCATCTGATTTTTTTTTTTAAATCAGGGGAGGAAGGTACACAACCGAATTACCATTCAAGACGTGTACCTGACCAGGGCAGCAGGTTATTTAAAATGAGGCCTCTGAATTATATCTCTGCCTTAAGTCACAGATATTGAGTATAAAACAATTTCAACTTGGTCCAATTTTAAGAAATAACTGTATTATTATTGTAATGTCTGGAGCCATTGGGTAACAACATTGTTTGAGCACTGAAGAAGGACAATCGGCTGAAACATGTTTGGTCAGTGTCACAGATGTTCTATGCTTGAGATAACTGCATGATTTTATTCTGATCTGAGGCTACTATTTGGGCCTACATTTGTTTTTATCTAATTTGTAATAAATACATGTGTTTTTGTATATTTAGTAATATTTATGTTTACATATAGAACTATTGGGCCCTCGCATTCTGACGTTAACCTTTTGGTTCTTAAAACAGCAAACGGAACCAGGCTGAACACTTCCTTTACAGTACTGCCACTGTTAAAAAGGAATCAAAACATTATGCTGCTATCACAAAAGTACACACACAGTATGCTCGCCATGCAAATTAAAGTGTTTTCAAGCCATGCTTCATTCAGTGAGGAAGCTG